TATGAGAAAATTGTCAGAGGTGACTGTTGTCTACTCGCCCTCGCTTGCTGTGCACTCTGAACTGGCTTACATCAGTTTCATCAAGTGTGAACAGTTCTGAGTTGTGTTTAGGAAATAATAATAATAATGGATTGGATATATAGCGCTTTTCAAGGCACCCAAAGCGCTTTACAATGCCACTATTTATTCACACGCACTGGTGGAGGCAAGCTACGGTTGTAGCCACAGCTGCCCTGGGACAGACTGACAAAAGCGAGGCTGCCATCGGTCCTTCTGGCCAACACCAGTAGGAGGTAGGGTAAAGTGTCTTGCCCAAGGACAAAATGACCAGGAGAGAGAGCCCGGGGATTGAACCGGCAACCTTCCGGTTACAGATACGCTTCCCAACCTCCTGAGCCACAGTCGCCCTGAAATGGCATCAATTCTTTTTTTAAGGTCAACAAGTACCATTGTTGCTTAGCCAACTTTGGTACGCATTTTCCCAAAGTCTTAGCATGTTTGTTTTCCCCAAGACTTAGCATGTTTTTCTTTCCTCAAGTCTTAGCATGTTTTTGTGAGGACTACCACGAAAAGTTTAATGTTATTAAAATATTTTCTCATACATCTCTGGATAGAAGCAGTGGTGAAAAGTGACTTATTATCGGGGCGACCATGGTTCAGGAGGTTGGGAAGCTTATCTGTAACCGGAAGGTTGCCAGTTTGATCCCCTAGCTCTCTCTGTCCTGGTCGTTGTGTCCTTGGGCAAGACACTTTACCCTACCGCCTACTGGTGTTGGCCAGAAGCGTGATATTGGCAGCCTCGCTTCTCTCACTCTGCCCCAGGGCAGCTGTGGCTATAACTGTGGTTTGCCTGCACCACTGTGTGAATGTGAGAGTGAATGAATAGCAGAACTGTAAAGCGCTTTGGGTGCCTAGAAAAGCGCTATATAAATGCAATCCATTATTATCTGTAGTATCGTGTAACAGGAAGCTTAGAATATTTCCGAGTACCTTTGCATCATGTTCTAAACTAGAGAATGGTGTTATTCACACCTTTATTATATCACATCTGGATTACTAGATTTTTGACTTTCTTTTTTGATTTCCTTAAAACATCTGTGGGTTGTTCTGATCGACGCTGCAAGGCTGCTGACTAATTCTCCTGGGAATTCAACTGTCATTGTTCCAGCTGCTACTTGCTCATCATTGGTGCCTGATGGCCCCGGGATGAGGGCCTGTTGGCTATGCATCACTCAGATGAGAGTGAG